GCCAACAAAGGTCCATCTAGTCAAAGCTATGGTTTTTCTAGTAGTTATGTATGGATGTGAGAGTTGAACTATAAAGAAAATTGAGTGCCGAAGGCACAATTGGAATAGAAAATATTTTGTTCTAAATTGCTATATGAGCACAAAATATCCCTATACATTATTTGTAACATGTAATTTGTAACTGGACAGAAATAAGTTCTTCAATATTACTGGTAGCCTAGCAGAGAAAACAGACTGAAAAACCCAAGGTTTGGTTTTATCTGAATTCACTTCTCTTTACTATATGTGGATCCTATATATGGTGACATAAAGCCCAAGCTTCCCTGAGCTGGAGTAGGTATTCAGCACTTCTTTTCCTAAAGCATTGTAAGACTCCAACAAAAGTCCCATATATAAGAATGTATCTAATGTACTGGTGATTCTAAGAAGACCCTGACTGAAGCATGTTTTCAACTTTGCTCATTTTTGTACAACTCACATGTACAGCAGAAGTCTCAAGTGAGAGTATTTCAGAATATTAGGGCTGGAAGAGGCCTTAGAGCTGACCCTATCCATGCCCCTCATACTGCATACACAAAGTCTGGGGTCCAAGGAGGAGGAGGAGGACCTCTCCAAAGTTATAGTGCCAAAAACGGCAGAGCTCTGGCTCTCTGTTAACAACTCAATATGTTTGTGATCAGTTCTGAAAACTGTCAGCTAGAAAGTAAGCCTTTCCTCACTCAGTAATTTTTAGACCCATAAAGACCTGTTTACATAAAAGGTTAAAATTTTTTAACTGTCCACGCAGGAAAAAGATTCCCCACCCCTCCAAAAATGAAATCCAGCAGGGGGGCAGAAAACTTAAATATGGATCCCAACTTAAATATGGATGATTAAAATGATTTTCAAATGCAAGAAGATGCATCTTCGTCTCTGAATTTGTCTACCAGCACCACCACCCTGGTGGTGCTTTACTAGGTGTATGTACTCTGTATTGTGTATCTCATTTAGAACCTACAACAGTGTATCAACCTACAAGTTATACATTATCCCCATTTTATAAGGGTGGTAATTCAGATATTAAGAAATTTGCTGAAGCAAAATTTGCTAGAAATTTGAAATTTGCTAGAAAGCAAAAAATGCCAGAATCCAAAACAAGGTAATCAGGACTATAAAGCCCTTAAAGACAGTGTGATTTCTCAGGGGCAATCTGCTTGAATGTGAGGAGGAAGGGAGTTAGAAAAAGAAAAGTATTTTGTTAATGAATCATATGAAAACAGAATCTAAAAATAAAATGACTATTAATATTTTTTTTTACTTTTTATTTTGTACTGGGGTATAGCCAGTTATGGAGGAGCCTGGTAGGCTACAGTTCACGGGGTCGCAAAGAGTCGGACACGACTGAGCGACTTCACTTCACTTCACTTCACTTCATAGCCAGTTAACAAACAATGTTCTGATAGTTTCAGGTGAGCAGGGAAGGGATTCAGCCATACATATACATGTATCCATTCTCCCTCAAACTAAATGCCTATTATTTTTCAATCACCACACTGAACTATTCCCATCCAGGTTACTAGTGACTTCTGTGTGGCTAAATCCTTGGTCATTTTTGAGTTCTCATCTTGTTTGGCCTATGACATAGGCATATGACACTGCTGATCATTCCTTCCTTGGTTTCCAGGACTTCACACTCCCAGGTTTCCTCCTAACTCAGTGACTGTTCCTTCTCAGTGTCCTTCGTGGGATCTGCCTCCTCTCCCAGGGCTCAATCCTTGATCCTCTTCTCTCCTGTTTCTATACTCATTGCCTTAGTGATCTTGCCCCATGTCATGCCTTTAGAATGGCACTTGGATGTATATCTCTACCCAGATCTCTCCCCCTTGAGATCCACGCTCTCATATCTAGCTATGTCCTGAGCATCTCCACCTCTACATGGACATCTCAACGTCTGGATTCAACATCACCAAAGACAAACCCCTGATAACATCCCCTTCCAAGCCTGCCCCATTCTCAACAGTTTGCATCTGTTGATGGCAAAATCTTGTCTTACTCATTCAGGCTAAAAGTCCTGGAAAAATGGTTGGCTTTTCTTCCCCCTCGTATGTGAGCCTCCAGGAAATAATTTCTGCACTATCTTCAGAATGTAACCAACTGTAACCACTTTCTGCCACTCCCTCTACTACCACTCTGGTCTGAGTTTCCATTATCTTTCAAAGGGTTCTGCAGTAAGTTATCATCCTGCTTCTCCCTGAGCCCTCCTATAATCTGTTCTCAACACAACACCAGAGGGATCTTAAAAAAAAAAGGTAGTCAGGTCATGTCACCACTGTTTTGCACCCCACAGTGGCTCCCCGTGTCAGTGTTAAAACCACGGGACCTTTTTTTTCTCGGTTTGTTACTTTACATACTGAATAGCAAAATCAATCAGCCATGCGTATGCATATATCCCTCCCTTTTGGACTTCCTTCTCATTAGGGTCACCTCAGTGCATTAAGTAGAGTTCCCTTGCTATACAGTATGTTCTTATTGGTTACCTATCTTATTCATAGTATCAATAGCGTATATATGTCAATCCCAGTCTCCCAGTCCCACTCATCCTGCCCCCTTTTCCCTTTGGTATGCATATATTTGTTCTCTATGTCTCTGTCTCTGTTTTTGCTTTGCAAATAAGATCATCTATAACACTTTTCTAGATTCTACATTCTCTTCCATTCAGTCGCTCAGTTGTGTCTGACTTTTTGCAGCCCCATGGACTGCAGCATGCCCAGCTTCCGTGTTCTTCGCTATCTCCCCGAGTTTGCTCAAACTCATGTCCATTGAGTGGATGATACAATCCAACCATCTCATCCTCTGTCGTCCCCTTTGCCTCCTGCCTTCAATCTTTCCCAGCATCAGGGTCTTTTCCAGTGAGTCAGTTCTTCACATCAGGTGGCCAAAGTATTGGAGCTTCAGTTTCAGCATTAGTCCTTCCAATGAATATTTAGGACTGATTTCCTTCAGGATTGACTGATTTGATCTCCATGCAGTCCAAGAGTCTCTCAAGAGTCTTCTCCAACACTACAATTCAAAAGCATCAATTCTTTGGCGCTCAGCTTTCTCTATGGTCCAACTCTCACATCCATACATGACTCCTGGAAAAACCATAGCTTTGGCTAGATGGACCTTTGTCGGCAAAGTAACGTCTCTGCTTTTTAATATGCTATCTAGGTTGGTCATAGCTTTTCTTCCAAGGAGCAAGTGTCTTTTAAGTTCATGGCTGCAGTCACCATCTACAGTGATTTTGGAGCCCAAGAAAATAAAGTCTGTCACTGTTTCATTGTTTCCCCAACTATTTGCCATGAAGTGGCATGATGCCACTGATCCTTGTTTTTTTTTTTTTTTTGATCCTTGTTTTTTAAATGTTGAGTTTTAAGCCCATTTTTTCACTCTCCTCATATGTGTGTTACTATACAATCCCTGGTGGCTCAGATGGCAAAGCGTCTGCCTACAATGTGGGAGACCTGTGTTCGATCCCTGGGTCAGGAAGATCCCCTGGGAAAGGAAATGACAACCCACTCCAGTACTCTTTCCTGGAAAATCCCGTGGACAGAGGATCCTGGTGGGCTACAATCCATGGGGTTGCAAAGAGTCAGCCATGACTGAAGGCCTTCACTTTCACTTTATACAATGTTTATATTTCTCTTTCACTTACTTCACTCTCTATGGCACACTCTACAGAACCCCAGGACTTTGTAGTAGCTTATATGAAGCCACAAGATCTGGCTTCCATTGCCTCTCCAGCCTTCACCTCCTACTGTTCATCTCTTCCAGTCAAGCTCTCCGCCTGCTCTCCTTCCAGGATCACTACACCCTCACCTTTGCCTGGGGGGCGTCGGCTGCACCTTCTCAGTGTTCTGGGCCTGCTCGTCTCCTGGGGTCCTGACTAGCCCCTCAGGACCGTCAGCTCTGTTCACATCTCACTTAACATTAAGGCTAACCTTGACCATCTTGCTTACATTGCAACCTCCTCCCACACTCTCCCCTCCCAGCACCCTCATTCCACTTTGCTCTGTTTTTCTATAGTTTACTTATGTTCATTGTTTATCTTTCTTCCCCATCCTGCTCTAGAACATTCACTCCATGACACAGAGACCTGTTTTGTTCACATACTTATTTCCAAGCACCTGGAAACTCTGCTGAATATATATTTATGGAATAAATTTAAAAATGGGAAAGTACTACTAATTAAGACAAAAATATCTAACAACAAACTAAAGTGCTAGTTATTCCAAATTTCAGAATACCTTGCTACACAATAGATGCTCAATAAGCATTTGATGAATGAATTATGTACTATAATTTGAAAAGGAATCTCTGCACACATTTCCACAGCATCCATTTTGTGTACATGAGTTGGAGTGTATCTTGAGTTCTGCCTATTCAGTATCTGAAACTCATTTTGCCGTTTTCTACTTCAGGAAAAAGTACTTTAACATATTCTTCTACTATTCAGTAGAATATTTCTTTTTTAAATTAAAGTACAGTTATGGCTAATTCATTTCAATGTATGACAAAAACCACTGCAATGTTGTAAAGTAATTAGCCTCCAACTAATAAAAATAAATGAAAAAAAAATAAAGTACAGTTGATTTACAATGTTGTGTTAGTTTCAGGTGTAAAGTGATTCAGTTTTATATATATATATATATATTTCAGATTGTTTTCCCTTATTGCAACATATTGAGTATAATTCCCTGTACTGTACAGTAGGTCCTTGTTGGTTATCCATTTTGTATATAGTGAAAGTGTTAGTCGCTCAGTTCTGTTTGACTCTTTGCCACCCCATGGACTATAGCCCACCACGATCCTCTGTCCATGGTATTCTCCCGGCAAGAATACTAGAGTGGGTAGCCATTCCCTTCTCCAGGGGATCTTCCGAACCCAGGGATCAAATCCAGGTCTCTGTACTGCAGGCAGATTCTTTTTTTTTTTTTGAGAATTTAAAAAATTTTAATACAGTTCAAAGCAGCGTACGTGGTTCATTTCAGTTCCTTCACAGCCAAACCTGGGGGCAGGGACTGCTTCATCTTCTCTGCCTTCTCTTTGTCTGTGATGACCAAGGTGTAAAGGTATCTGCTGCATCGAACTTTAAACTTCACATTATCCTTGTTTTTCTTGATCTTGACAGACTTGGCTTCCTTGCGCTGGGCCGTGAGCAAGAAGTCCTTGATTTCCTCAATTTTGCGAGGCATAGCGATGAGACGGGGGGCGCGCGGCCGGAACGTCAAGGGGCGAGAAGCGAAGAGAGCGGAAAAGTGCAGGCAGATTCCCAAACTTCTAATTTGTCCCTCCTCTCCCTTCCCCTTTGGTAACCATAAGTTTGTAAGTCTGTGTCTGAGTATTTCCATAAATTCTATCACTCAGAGGTGGCTGAGGAATTTAAGAACTAGGATAACATGATGAAAAGGTTGCAGGAAGGGGAACCCCTTCCAGCGCCCAGGAGTGGGCACTTGTCTGACACTGAGAAATGAATCATCCAAGGAGACACACATACTTATTATTGAAAGGTCGGGTCTGGCTGCTCGCTGCCCAAAAGTCAATAAACAGGCCCAGTTGGTGGAAAGGAAAGTTTGCTTTATTTCAGATGCCGGCAACTGGGGGGAGGGCAGACATCTATCCAAAGGCTGATTCCCCCCGCTGACAAGCAGGGGGTAGGAACTTTTATACACAGAGTAGGGAGGGGGGTTGGCTACATACAGAAACAGCATAGTGAGCTCTGATAGTCATCTTCAGATTGGTCATTGGTAGTCTCACTAGCATCATCTTGTTTTAGGTACAGTTAATCTTCAGTTCCAGAGTCTGTCTGTTCCCATTTCTTTGAGAACAGTTCTTGGAATTGTGGCAGCTCATGTCCTGGGTACAGTCTGGTCATCTTGTAGTTAATTTTTCCAACTGGGGTTTCAGTATCTGTAAGACAGCTCACAGGATATGTCTCAAAATATTATCCGTAGTCCTTGAGAAGAAACTAAAGGTCCTTGACTATGCTTCATGACTACATTATTATTATTTGATCTCCTTTGACTGTTTTCCTTTGTTTGCACATTTCTCACTTCTCTGATGAAACTTATTCTTTGCTAAAGTTTTCCACAGACAACAGGCAGGCAGAGGACATGGCTGGGGGGAAGGACCATAGGGTCATGCTCTGTTTCATGCTGACAGAGCAAGAGGTTTTATTGAGAAGGGGTGCCTGGGCAGAGAGCAGGAGGGTAAGGGCACCCAGGAGGTCTGCTCTGCCACATGGCTCACAGTCCCGGATTTTATAGTAATGGGATTAGTTTCTGACTCAGGGTCCTTCCTGGTGGTGCACACATCACTCACTCAGGATGGATTCCAGCAAGGAGGATCCTGGGAGGTTGGTAGGACACGTGGCATCTCCTTTTGAACTTTCCTGAATTGTCCGGGTTGGTAGTGGATTTTTAGTTCCCTGTTCCTTACCAGGACCTCCTGTCACAGTGTAACTCACATGAATGGTTATTATGGTTCCTGGCCAGGGTGGGCGGTTCCAGTCAGAATTTCCCTTAACACCTCCCCACTCAGAGATTGCATACTCAAGATGCTTCTTGGTAATCTCTTTCTTCTGTAATTACTCCCTGCTGAGATTCTTTGCCAACTAGCTGGGGCTTTCCTGGTGGCTCAGTTGGTTAAGAATCAACCTGTAATGTGGGAGACCCATGTTCTATCTCTGAGTGGGAGAGATCCCCTGGAGAAGGAAATGGCAAACTACTGCAGTATTTTTGCCTGAAAAATCCCATGGACAAAGGAGCCTAGCCGGCTACAGTCTATTGGGTTGCAAAGGGTCAGACACAACTGAAGCAACTTAGCACAAGTGGGCGTAGGCATGCGCAGGAGGCCTAACAGGGCCCAGAAAAGGAGGCAAAATTTGGGGTGAATTTTGAATGTGGTGGATGCAGAACTGGTCACTTTCTTCTGATTGGTTGGTGGTGAGATAATAGGGCGGTGCTCCAGGAATCTTGTGCTCAACCTGAAGTTACCATCCTCCACCTGGGTAGGGGCCCAGGTTCTGCAGAACTCAGAGATACTGTTATGCATATTCCTTGAGTAGGAACCAGGCTCCAAGGCTGTACCACCACTAGACTTCTCCTATTTCTGCATCCCCTCCCTTCCCTAATAAGCAACTGTTTGAATCGGCCCTTTGGAGTTCAGGGAAGATCAAGGAGGCTGAATGAAGCCTATATCCCATAAACAAGAAAAGCAAATGAAATAAAGGATGCTTCTGAGAAATAAATCGTTGCATGGACAGTCAAGTGATATTGGGCAGGACCTTGCAGGTCCTTCCCAGTTTCAAAAGCCCCTCCATGTCCCCTGTATCTTATTTGTAGAAAACAGAAAAAAGTCTCCCAGGCTTTCCTTGAGTGCCAAAGAACAAGCCCAAGCACTTACTGATTAGGACAATAGGGTCACAGGAAACCTAGATCTTCCTGAAGCATAAACATAACAACCTGATGCATTATCTTTGAGTTGTTCTACAAAAACTAAGAACCCCCCACTCAGGAGGATGTAACAAGTCCACCATAAGCACACAGACTCCAGACTGGTTGGAACCAGAAGGCTGAGATTCTGGAAACATCACCCTGTTACCTCACCACGAACCAATGAGGAGAAGGTCCAAGAGCTGGTCAAGCAACTATGACCCTTTTTGCTAACAGTCTTGCCTGAAAGAGATTGGAGGGTTCGGGTATTTTGTGCACCCAGCATCTGTTCTTGCTTTGAGCCTTTGCAATAAATCTTTCTCTGCTCCAGACTCCCAGGTTCTGGATAAAGTGTGCCAGGGACACAGGAACTTGGGTTCCATAACAAAGAGTGGTATACTTAGGGTGAGGCAGTGCAAGGTGGTGAGGTCCGAACTTCGCTCCAGATGTGTGATCCGCCACTAGTTTAATTACTCTAAACCCTAGTTTCTTTATCTGTAAAAACGGGGCTAAGGCACAGCATTTGTCTATGGATGACAGGTGATTAACATTGTCTGAAAAGCAAACAACTCTGCTTAGTAAGCAACTGAAAAGTGGAAACTATTATATGCTGGTGTGCTCATCGTGTCAGACTCCTTGAGACCCCAAGGACTGTAGCCCACCAGGCTCCTCTGTCCATGGGTTTCTCCAGGCAAGAATACTGCAGTGGGTTGCCATTTTCTACTCCAGCGGATCATCCCCACCCAGGGATCAAACCTGCTCATCTTGCCTCTCCTGCACTGGCAGGAGGATTGTTTACCACTAGCGCCACCTGGGAAGCCGGGGTTAGCATTATAATGAATTTGGGGCGTGGGAAAAGACTGCTTTTGCACCAGTAGGAAGGAGCTTGCTGTTAGGAACCAAACGGTTCATTTAAAAGGAGGTAGGGAAACAAGGAAAGAAAAGCAACAAAAAAGGTGAGATTCAAGATTTCAAGTTGGTTTGTGCTGATTAGGACCTGGAATGGGGAACCTTGGGCCTTCCCTCTTGGAAGTGCCTCAACTGCGAGAGCTGCGGGCGTCGCGGATCCCCGCGGTGGAAGCAGCCGGATCGTGTGGGAGGTCCTGGTTGGGGGCTGTACGGCTGGGACTGGCTGAAGGCCACCTAGGTCGCCCTCCAGTTCAGGGTCGGGGGTCCGGAGCTCCGGGACCAGGCGGGCAGCGAGAGGAGCCGCGCCCGGAGGGCTCCGCGTCCGCGCCTCCCTCTACCTGGCGCCCCTCTTCGCTTACGCGTCGCCCACTGCCGTCCCCACCCTTCGCCTCGCTTCTCCTTCCAGTCGCCGAGTGCATCCTCTTCCTCACCCCACCGACCCATTCCCGGACCCCAGGATGCCTCCTCCCCTTCCTGGTTCTTCTGGCTGGTTCCGTAGAGTTTGGCTTGAACTTTTGAACCCACCAATGAGCGCCGTGCGCCCCTCCTCTCTCCGCCCCGAGGGTAAAAGCCGGCTGAGGGCTGGGAGGCGGGGCGCCGGAGGCCGGGGCGGGGCCGGGTGCCGGCCCTCCTGACACGTGGCCCGGGTAGGGGTTTATAGGATGCCTCCGGGCCCCAGGCCTCTCACTACTTCTCCCCCGGACTCCTTAGTAGTCTGTCAGTGGGAGATCTTCACGGCCGTTCCCTCACCTGTTCCAGCCCCGCAGAACCGTACAAATCTCCGTCATGGTGAGTGGGGATCCCCGGGCGGTGGTGTGGGGGCAGACTGCGGAGTCCGAGTGCAGCCACGTCCACGCCTCCGGGCACACTGGTTTCTGGTGGCCAGGTTGGGAGAGTCGAGTTCACCTGGCTGACTCCTCGTCGGGCTCGAAGACGCGGCCTGGGCACTGCCTGGAGTGGAAGTGGAAAAACCACTTGATCCTAGAGAGGGGCCATTCAGAGATTCCTTCGGGGCCGCTACTGCTCCAGGAAGGTCCGAGAACCTTCGCACCGGCTCCCAAGGACTTGTGAAAGCTACAAATCCTTCCCATTTCCTGAAATGATCTCACCTTCCCACAGCCTTACGCAAAGGACCCCTGGGGCATCTCGTGTGCTCCAGCATAGTAGGTGCAGGTGTTTCCCGGCGACCCCTCCCCTGTGCCCTGTGACTTGCTGCTGAGTCACCTGTGGCCAGACTCTGGGAGGAGTTTGCAATTGCACCATCCTCACCTGTGGCCGGGATGGCGGGGGTGGGGTGTGCCCGGGGAGCTCTTGCAATTGCGCCAATCCACAGGAAGGATGTAGGCAGGCTCCTCCTTTGAAGGAAATTTACTGTCACGTTGTTTAATCCTGCGTTTCTAGTGTTAATTTAGTGGGGTGTTTAATGGCTGAAACTTTCTTCTTACAGGTTTTGAAAAGTCCATAAAAGAGACATTTACTTATAAAGTCCCAGAGTAAACTAGTACTGACAAAGTATTCTTGGTTTTAAAGAGACATGAAATTACACACAACTTGAATATTTTCTATTTAGCTTCCAGAGGTTTTGGAAACAAGTATCTTAGGAAACATCCGTTGGAGGGCTACCTAAAGAAGGGCATGAGTATCAAATGTTTCAAAATATCTTTTTTTTTTTTAAAGGAATATAGTGAATAAACAGTTATCCTTTTTAAGGACTACCACAGTTATCAAAAGGATGTCTGACTGTAACACTTGCTTGAGTGCTTTTTACTAAGCCAGACCTAAGGACACTGGTAAATGTGTTATTGAGAAAATAGTGGGAGTGTATAAAGGGCAGGAGAGCAGCAGCAGCAGCAGCAAACCTATTAAGACATACACTGGTTAGACTGGTATTTTACAAAGGACAGGGGCTGATTATCCCATTAAGGCTAGACTAAGTGACTCTATCACCAGTATCTCACTTCATCTCCCACCTGGCTAGGGGAGGGTGGAGGGCGATCAGTGGCCCCATCTAAGCCATACTGTTGCAAAATATGAAAAATTTTTGAACTCAAAAGGCTTCATTAGAACTGTTCATTAGGCTGGCAGGGTCTTCTCAGATATTTTATCTCCTTGGGACCTGGAAATGTCATGGGCAAATATCTGGTTCTTTCCTGGTTTCTAGGGCTGTGGAATGTCCAAAGTCCAGTTAAAGGTAAACACGATGCAGTGGTAAAAAGTCATGGGTTCATCAGAACAAACTTCCCTTTCTCCTACAGCCTTAGAGCTCAACAAGTAGATGCAGGTAATAGTGAGCTTGCTGATGAGGTCAGCAGAGCATAATTGCTTTATGGTGAGTATGGTGACAAGGAGGGAAGCATAAATCAAAGGTTATGAGCAATTGGAGATTTTGTCTTGGGGTTATGAGACTAGGCCCTTTGACATCTTAGGCGATGTTGAATTTTCTTGAGATTCCTATTGTTCAGGTGGTAAGTTGTGTCTGACTCGATGACCCTACCGACTGCAGAATGGCAGGCCTTCCAGTCCTTCACTATCTCCTGGAGTTTGTTCAAACTTGTGTCCCTTGAGTCGATGATGCTATCTAAACACCTCACCCTCTGCCACCTCCTTCTCCTTTTGCCTTCAATCCTTCCCAGCATCAGGGTCTTTTCAAATGAGTCGGCTCTTTGCCTCAAGTGGCCAAAGTATTGGAGCTTCAGCATCAGTCTTTCCAATGAATAGTCACGGTAAATTTCCTTTAGGATTGACTGGTTTGATCTCCTTGCAGTCCAAGGGACTCTCAGGAGTCTTCTCCAGCCCCACGATTCAGAAACATCGATTCTTCCATGCTCAGCCTTCTTTACAGTCCAACTCTCACATCCATACATGACTATTGGAAAAATCATAGCTTTGACTATACAGACCTTTGTTGGAAAAATGATGTCTGCTTTTTAATATGCTGTCTAGTTTTGTCATAGCTTTCCTTCTAAGAAGCAAGCATCTTTTAATTTCATGGCTGCAGTCACCGTCTGCAGTGATTTTGGAGCCCAAGAAAATAAAACCTGTCACTGTTTCCACATTTTCCCCATCTCTTTGCCACCAACTGATGGGACCAGATGCCAGCTTTTTCATTCCTCTCTCACCCTCATCAAGAGGTTCTTTTCTTTAGTTCCCCTTCACTTTCTGCCGTTAGAGTGGTATCATCTGAGGTTACTGATAGTTCTCCTGGGAGGCTTGATTCCAGCTTGTGATTCATCCAGCCTAGCATTTTGCATGATGTATTCTGCATAGATGTTAAATAAGCAGGGTGATAATATACAGCCTTGATGTACTCCTGTCCCAATTTTGAACCAGTCCATTGTTTCATGTCTGTTTCTAGCTGTTGCTTCTTGACCTGCATACAGGTTTCTCAAGAGACAGGTAAGGTGGTCTGGTATTCCAGTCTCCTTAAGAATTTCCCAGTTTGTTGTGATCCACACAGTCAAAGGCTTTAAAGTCCTATTAACAGCTTTCAGAACCCTCAAACTCTCTTATTTGGGGAAAATGTAATAGGAGATATTTGATGTGGACACTTGAAAGACTGCTGTCTCAAGCAGCCAATTTGATTTATGATGGAAATACAATAAAAATCTGTTTGTTTTCCTCTTAAATCTGTGGGTTTAGATTCTATGTTCACTGCCTTATTTTACCAAGCAGGAATGAGTTTGGTAACTTATAAATGACCTTGTTCAGCAAGTAAAGGAAAACAAACGCTTGCCTAACATCGTTAAATTTATGAAATTAGAGACTCTTCTTCCACAATGCCAGAGAGAGATGTACATTTTACTAGAAAGCAGCTGATTTCTTAAACTATTAGTGAAGTCTTGGTGACACCTCTATCTTTTGTTACCCTATTTCCATCTGCCTACCCTCCCCCACTCTCCCCTCAAGGTGTGTGGACAGTGAAGGAAAATGTTTTTCCCTAAGATTAAATACTTCCACAGGGATAACAGGATGCCTTTGACCACAGTCTTTAAAGTCCAGGTAACTGCTGCTTATCTGGTGTTTTCTCCATGAGTCATACAACTGTAGTTTGCTGGTTTAAGCTGGTTTTAAAGGGAGAGGCAGAAGCTGTTTAAAGAATAGAATGAAAGAGGGATGGGAATGAGCTGTAGTTACACAGTCACACAGGGAATGATTCAGAGCTGGAAGGAGGAATTTTGCATGCCTCTGAGGAATCAGCAGGCATATTTCCCAGGAGTTGGGGAAAATCAATTGCTAGAGCAGCTTGTGTCATTCTGAAGGTAGAAACCTGACCATGAATATCTAATGTGGCTGTAAAGCGAAAGTCTGGTCTCTGGCCTTGTCTAGTAGTTCATTAACATATCTGTGGTTTTCCAAAGCATTTTCTCTGAATTGGCCTGTTGTTTGTGAAATAGTGCCTGGGCAGGCATGGCCTCCAGAAAGGTGCTGGTCTGTCTTGAAGGTTAATAGTCATTTCCGTGTGAATCATTCCCAAATGTCCCATCCGATGTGTCAGATTCTGACACTTCCTTTCTTCCTTCCCACAGCGTGAGTGCATCTCCATCCACGTTGGCCAGGCTGGTGTCCAGATCGGCAATGCCTGCTGGGAGCTGTACTGTCTGGAACATGGCATCCAGCCTGATGGCCAGATGCCAAGTGATAAGACTATTGGGGGAGGAGACGACTCCTTCAACACCTTCTTCAGTGAGACAGGCGCTGGCAAGCATGTGCCCAGGGCAGTGTTTGTAGACCTGGAACCTACAGTCATTGGTGAGTTGACCTCAGTAACCCCAGAGAGATCCCATGGATCTGGGACAGGAGGTGTGTCCTGGGAGTTCTACTGAGCCCTGAGATGGAGCAGACTTGTGTAGGTTGTTAGTGATGGGTGGCTGCTTCATTTTCCTTTTCCAGATGAGGTTCGCACTGGCACCTACCGCCAGCTCTTCCACCCTGAGCAACTTATCTCAGGCAAAGAAGATGCCGCCAATAACTATGCCCGAGGTCACTACACCATTGGCAAGGAGATCATTGACCTCGTCTTGGACCGAGTTCGAAAACTGGTAAACAAAGAACTTTATAAAATAGGATGACGGTTTTCTCTTAGAGCTTTGAGAGACCAGACTATGAGAACCATTCTTTGTGCACTAGAATGAGCTTTATACTGCCCACTATGACTTGACTTCTGAACCAAACGGTCCTGTGCTATGGAACAACCTTTTGAGGCTGAAGTGAGTGCTGTTCGGCCTCTTCCTGTGTCTTCTAAAGCAGATTTGGGCAATTGCTCACTCATGAGGGCAGTTTACCTGAAGTCAAGTGAGTACCAGGAAGCCTTAACAGTGTTACTGACACTTAAACCCATTAAACATACTTGTTCATCTTAATCAGGCAGCTTCCTGGCTCCAACCTGAGGCATCCTTTTTTAGGTCATCTTAGTCACAGTGGTATGTGGCTGGCTCTGAATGTAACTATTTGATCAAACTCATAAAAATTGGAGAGCTACGCTATGTTGCTACACAAAGTTACAGCAAAAGAAGCTGATGAAATACCGACTAGAAACAGCTGCCATTGGACACTTCCAGCAATCCTGGAAGTGGAGTCAAGGGACCTCCCTTGTTGGGGAAGCAAGTATAAGTCACTGGAACTTTGAAAGTATTAAGATATAACCACAAAAAGCAGTACCCTTGTTTTTCTACTAGAGCTCAGTGCAGTGTAGACTAGCCTTGAGGCAGAAAAATCTAAGGTAACTGTATTCACATCGGTAAGGTTGATAAGGGTTCTATTCAGATCATTTTAATTAAGAGTCTGGCAATCAGATGACTGTGCTCCTTAGGCATACAGGCAATTTGTAAGTAATTAACTAAAATCAAGAATAAAGGCCTGGGTGGAATAACTTGTCAGGAAATTCATATAACGCTAAGGCTGGCAACAACAGGTCTATTTTCAAAAGAATGCCCTTACATCGTTCTTGGCTTCATACTTTTTCAAATGTTTATCATAGTCTTCACAGCAAAATTGGGCTAATGGTTTCCCTGTTGGCAAGTGAAGCTTCAGCTACAAGTACTGACTTGGAAATCAGGACCTACCTTCAGGCAGTTCAGTTCAATTCAGTGGCTCAGTCGTATCCGACTCTTTGCGACCCCATGAATCGCAGCACTCCAGGTCTCACTGTCCATTACAAACGCCTGCAGTCTACCCAAATTCATGCTCATCGAGTCGGTGATGCCATCCAGCCATCTCATCCTCTGTCGTCCCCTTCTCCTCCTGCCCCCAGTCCCTCCCAGCATCAGGGTCAGGGACAAATAAACTAGTGAAAGTCATTGAGGTGTCAGCTTCTGGAGTGAAGTTAATTAAGCACCAGAACAATTGCATTTGTCCCTGTGTGATTACCATGTCCACAAGAGTCTTAATGGGTGGAGACTGGTAAACTGGAGTCTGCCCCTTGCACTGATCTCATTCAGAGGGTGGACCCATAGAAGTGACTAAGGGCTTATTAGCGAATGTCCACAAATCTTGGAGCACCTTAAAGTGAAGATTGTCCAGAGAATACTGTCCGGTTAAGATCATCCTTGCAACCATAGCAGTTTGTTAGCCAAAAGAACTCAATTAAGTGGTGGAAAGCCCCCGTGACACAAGGACATGGATTTGTGACAGTAAATCACCTTTCCCGGAATGAATAGACTTTCTGCTAACTAGTGCTGACTGTGCCAGGCCCTATTCCAGTACTCATTTAACTCCCAACAACCGGAAGCAGATTACTATTCTCCTCAGTTAGTAAATGAGACACTGAGATTGTGGAATGAATTTGGTCAAAGGCACATGGCAGGAACTGGTAGAGCCAGACCCAGCCTTGTCCTAGTGCCAGGGCACCGAATCTTCACTCTTCTGCTGTACTGCAGCTCAGAAAGCAGCTGCCAGAAGTTCTGTAAGACATCCGTCATATGGGGCTGGCATCCTGCTGTTGGCAGCCCTCCAACTGCTAAGAGGTTGCCTTTGCTCTGTGGTCATGTCAAGGGCAGCAGAGGTGAGCCTCCCGGTCACCAAAACTTGGGCCCTGCATCCATTCCAGACTTCATGATTCCTGTGCCTGCAGAAATGAAAATAATTCATTTAAAATAGCCTTTTCACAGATCCCCTCCCTCCAGGCCCCAAGAGTTGTTTGTGAAGTTTCTCTCAATCACTTAGCACTTAAAAACTCTTTAGGTCTGCTTTCTTAGCAAGTAGTGTTCAGAAGTTTTCTGGAAAAAAAAAAAAAACAGTTTTCTGTTTTTTTTTTAAGATGTTGATCAGTGTGGTTATGGATGCAAAGAAGTCACTCCAGCTGTCACAAAGGGTAAAATTAAACCTTTTTTCTTTTTCAGGCTGACCAGTGCACGGGTCTTCAGGGCTTCCTGGTTTTCCACAGCTTTGGTGGGGGAACCGGTTCTGGGTTCACCTCCCTGCTGATGGAACGTCTCTCTGTCGATTATGGCAAGAAGTCCAAGCTGGAGTTCTCCATTTACCCAGCCCCCCAGGTTTCCACAGCTGTCGTCGAGCCCTACAACTCCATCCTCACCACCCACACCACCCTGGAGCACTCTGATTGTGCCTTCATGGTAGACAATGAGGCCATCTACGACATCTGTCGTAGAAACCTCGACATTGAGCGCCCAACCTACACAAATCTTAACCGCCTCATGAGCCAGATAGTGTCCTCCATCACTGCTTCCCTGAGGTTTGATGGAGCCCTGAATGTGGATCTGACAGAGTTCCAGACCAACCTGGTGCCCTATCCCCGCATCCACTTCCCTCTGGCCACATACGCCCCTGTCATCTCTGCTGAGAAAGCCTACCATGAACAGCTCTCTGTAGCAGAGATCACCAATGCTTGCTTTGAGCCAGCCAACCAGATGGTGAAATGTGACCCTCGCCATGGTAAATACATGGCCTGCTGCCTGTTGTACCGTGGTGACGTGGTTCCCAAAGATGTCAATGCTGCCATTGCCACCATCAAAACCAAGCGTACCATCCAGTTTGTGGACTGGTGCCCCACTGGCTTCAAGGTTGGCATTAACTACCAGCCTCCCACTGTGGTACCTGGTGGAGACCTGGCCAAAGTACAGCGAGCTGTGTGCATGCTGAGCAACACCACAGCCATCGCTGAGGCCTGGGCTCGCCTGGACCACAAGTTTGACCTGATGTATGCCAAGCGTGCCTTTGTTCACTGGTATGTGGGTGAGGGCATGGAGGAAGGAGAGTTTTCTGAGGCCCGTGAGGACATGGCTGCCCTTGAGAAGGATTATGAGGAGGTTGGAGCTGACAGTGCTGAGGGAGATGATGAGGGTGAGGAGTATTAGCATGTCTGCTGCAGTTTCATCTTGGGACTGTATTGTTTGTGTTTGGTGCAGCTGTCCACTGTGGCTGTATCTTGTCAATAAAGGTGATATTTCCACTTTCAAGGTCACGCTGGATCATAGTAAATATTTACTTATTGAAGGCCAGTTTTGGATGGAGGATGCTGGCAATTTTAGCTGATCATTTGCTCAACATTTCAAGTGGTTTCTGTGTACTGTGCTAAGAGGTTTGTCTATTTCACTTAGACCTGAAACAATGGTGATAAAATCATAAGTAAGGCAACAGGCTGAGATTGGGCCAGTGCTTTTCAAACTTTAATATGGATGTGAATCTCCTGTAGATTTTAAAAAGCAGAGCTGATTCTGTAGGTCTGAAGTGGAGTTTCAACAAACATACTGCCTTTTTTTTCTTTTTTCTTCTTTTTTGCCTTTGTGTTTTACAGCTCTCAGGTTTTTTGTTTTTAATTGGAGGATAATTGCTTTACAATATTGTGTTGGTTTCTGCCATACATCAACATGAATCAGCCATAGGTATACATAGGTCCCCTCCCTCTTGAACCTCCCTCCCACCTCCCATCCCATCCTACCCCTCTAGGTTGTCACAGAGCACTGGGTTTGAGCTGCCTGCATCATACAGCAAAGTCCCACTGTTTTACTTATGGTAATGTATATGTTTCAATGCTACTCTCTTAAGTCATCCCACCCAAAGCTCCCAGGTATTCTTGTCTGCTGTGACCACATGTGGAGTAGCAAGGGGTTGGGTAACATAGCCAATAAATGGTGGAGCCATAACTCAAGTCTCCAGACTGACTGCCAGAACTACTGCAGTCTTTATTTCATAAAGTGTTGGAGTCACATTGGAAGGGCTTGGAATTTTGTGCTGAGTTTTCGTCCTTGGCCAGATTCTACAATGGCAAACTAGGGCTGTGCTTTAAGAAGTCACTGGTTGGAGAAAGTAGAGCAGGCTGAGACACACAAGTACAGTAGTCTCAGGTGGTTATGGTATGGTCCTTGACCCAGTGTATGTCATGGGGAATATTTGAAGTAGGGGAATAACAAGGAAAATTGAAGGAGTATGTATGTAAGAAAGGTTGAAGACCAGAGCTCCCCAATTTGGATGCTTTTCTGAGCACCTACTGGAAGCTGTGTGGTTCTTGAGGGGGGCAGGAGGCAACTATGAAAAGATGAGGGTGGAGGAAGAATGTGCGGGTGGCTGGAGAGTTTGGTGATTGGTGCTCAGGGACCAGTGGTGTGGCCTCTGAGGTTGAACTGAGCCATGAGAGAGGACAGCGATCATCAGGGCCAGGTCATGAAGAAGGGAGGGGCCATATTTGATGCTTAGATCCTGGCCTGAGTGGGAAGGCCAAGCAAGTGGCAGGAGGTGAGGGTCAGTGCAGGTCTGTTCACCTTGGCTCCAGGACTGAGCTTATTCAATGGCTCTCAGCTACCATCTTTCTTTTCCCACTGGTGTTTTCACCTCTTACTCATTGCTACCCTCTGCCCCCTTACTCTTTAAGGAGAGCATTTTAAACATGCACATTCTGGGAATTCCCTGGTGGTCCAGTGTAATTGGCACTTTTAGTGCTGAGGGTCCACGTTCAATCCCTGATTGGGGAACTAAGATTCCGCAAAGCACATGGACCAGCAACCCCTTCCCTCAAATGCACATTCTGTCTTGGAGCACAGCTTCCAGCCTGAGCTGTCTCAGCTTTGTGCTCGGAATGGTTGTCACCAGAGCAACCGTTGTCTCATGCTTTCAGGGCCATGCCCAAGTTGCCCCATCCTTGAGTACAGCCAGCCACTGCTACCCAAAGTGATGGGCTAGATTCCTTCTGCAGGCTGAGCATGGGCGTCCTGGGCTGAAATAATGAGCCTTGGAGAGGCTGGCCACTCCAGCTGCGCTCAGACCTTCCCAACCTGGGATATCGACCGATTGCTCCAGTGAGAGCTCTGGAGGGAACAGGATGTCCAGGTGTGAGAAGGAAGAGACAGATCATCAGCTTCAGCTGAGCACAGACCCCATGACACCTGAGGTCCATTCTCAGAGCCTGCGTGTCTCAAGCCGGAGACCCTGAGAATGGGGTTCAGGGCTTGCCTATTCTCCTCCTCCCTCAGCCTTCAGGAGAGCCAGACAGCACCTGCAAAGCCTGAAGCCCCGGGGCCAGTGGGCTCCCCCCCAGCTCCCTGGCCAGGCGCGAGCCCCTCCAGTTACCTCCATAAGCCTTACAGGTGAATTGCCTGCCAAGACGTGGAAGGTGCTGGAAACGTTTAAGCAGCCACAATGGTGTGGGGGTGAAAGAAGGTGAAAGAAGAGTTTAGCTGAGAAAAAATATTCCAGTAGAACAGAGCCTGGGGGATTGGAAAGGGCAAAGTGCCAGAGCTTGGAGAGGGAGCTGTCCTTGTAGTGATGATCCCCCCCACCCTGTGCTGGTGAGAGAGTGAAGAGAAGTTAGCCTGCAGCAAGAACAAATATACCCCAAGGTCTCAGTCACTGCTTTGTGCCTGACAATCATCCGATCTGCCCTTGAGCACAAATGGAAAGTCTGCACTCAGAACTGCCGTCAGGGCTGAGGCCACTGGGGCTTGATGGGGATAAATGGAGAAAGCCTAAGAGGGTGCAGCCCCCAAATTGGCTGGCACCCCAGATTCTGTGGGCGTCCCCAATAGCTCAATTGGTAAAGAATCTGCCTGCAGTGCAGGATACTAGAGTTCTATCCCTGGGTCGGGAAGATCCCATGGAGAAGGAAATGGCAACCTACTCCAGTATTTTTGCCTGGAAAATCCCATGGATGAAGAAGCCTAGTGGGCGATCCATTGGATCGCAAAGGGTCAGACACAACTGAAGCAACTTAGCACAAGTGGGCGTAGGCATGCGCAGGAGGCCTAACAGGGCCCAGAAAAGGAGGCAAAATTTGGGGTGAATTTTGAATGTGGTGGATGCAGAACTGGTCACTTTCTTCTGATTGGTTGGTGGTGAGATAATAGGGCGGTGCTCCAGGAATCTTGTGCTCAACCTGAAGTTACCATCCTCCACCTGGGTAGGGGCCCAGGTTCTGCAGAACTCAGAGATACTGTTATGCATATTCCTTGAGTAGGAACCAGGCTCCAAGGCTGTACCACCACTAGACTTCTATTTCTGCTTTCCCTTCCTTCCCTGATAAGCAACTGTTTGAATCGGCCCTTTGGAGTTCAGGGAAGATCAAGGAGGCTAAATGAAGCCTATATCCTATAAACAATAAAAACATGAAGTAAAGGATGCTTCTGAGGAATAAATCGTTGCATGGATGGTCAGAGTGAAACTGAGCCACACCTTGCAGATCCTTCCCAGTTTCAAAAGCCCCTCCATGTCCCCTGTGTCTTATATGTAGAAAACAGAGAAAAGTCTCCCAGGCCTTCTTTGAGTGCCAAAGAACAAGCCCAAGCAGTTACTGATAGGGTCACAGGACACCTAGTTCTTCCTGAAGCCATAAACATAACAACCTGATGCATTATCTTTGAGTTGTTCTACAAACGCTAAGACCCCCGCCACTCAGGAGGATGTAACTACAAGTCCACCACAAGCACACAGACTCCAGACTGGTTGGAACCAGAAGGTTGAGATTCTGGAAACATCACCCTGTTACCTCACCACCAACCAGAGAGAAGAAGGTCCAGGAGCTGGTCAAGCAACTATGACCCTTTTCGCTAAGTCTTGCCTAAAAGTGATTGGAGGCTTCAGGTCTTTTGTGCACCCAGCAGCTATTCTTGCTTTTAGCCTTTGAAATCTTTCTGTGCTCCAAACTCCCAGGTTCTGAAAATTGTTTGGCTTCAGTGAGCCAGAGACACGGGAACTTGGGGCGCATAACAAAGAGTGGTATACTTAGGGTGAGGTGAAAGTGAAGTTGCTCAGGCGTGTCTGACACTTTGTGACCCCATGGACTGTAGCCTACCAGGCTTCTCCATCCATGGTATTTCCCAGGCAAGTGTACTGGAGTAGGTTGCCGTTTCCTTCTCCGGGGATCTTCCCGTCCCAGGGATCGAACCCAGGTCTCCCACATTGTATGCAGACACTTTACACTCTGAGCCAGCAGGGAAGCCGTAGTGAGGGCCTAACTTTGCTCCAGCTGTGTGACCTGCAACTAGTTTAATTACTGCAAACCCTAGTTTCTTTATCTGTAGAAAACGAGGCTAAGGCACAGCATTTGTCTATGGATGACATGTGATTAACGTTGTCTGAAAAACAAACAACTCTGCATAGTAAGCAACTGAAAAGTGAAAGCTATTATTATATGCACGTGTGCTCATGTGTCAGACTCCTCGAGACCCCAAGGACTGTAGCCCACCAGGCTCCTCTGTCCATGGGTTTCTCCAGGCAAGAATACTGCAGTGGGTTGCCATTTTCTACTCCAGCGGATCATCCCCACCCAGGGATCAAACCTGCTCATCTTGCCTCTCCTGCACTGGCAGGAGGATTGTTTACCACTAGCGCCACCTGGGAAGCCGGGGTTAGCATTATAATGAATTTGGGGCGTGGGAAAAGACTGCTTTTGCACCAGTAGGAAGGAGCTTGCTGTTAGGAACCAAACGGTTTATTTAAAAGGAGGTAGGAAAACAAGGAAAGAAAAGCAACAAAAAAGGTGAGATTCAAGATTTCAAGTTGGTTTGTGCTGATTAGGACCTGGAATGGGGAACCTTGGGCCTTCCCTCTTGGAAGTGCCTCAACTGCGAGAGCTGCGGGCGTCGCGGATCCCCGCGGTGGAAGCAGCCGGATCGTGTGGGAGGTCCTGGTTGGGGGCTGTACGGCTGGGACTGGCTGAAGGCCACCTAGGTCGCCCTCCAGTTCAGGGTCGGGGGTCCGGAGCTCCGGGACCAGGCGGGCAGCGAGAGGAGCCGCGCCCGGAGGGCTCCGCGTCCGCGCCTCCCTCTACCTGGCGCCCCTCTTCGCTTACGCGTCGCCCACTGCCGTCCCCACCCTTCGCCTCGCTTCTCCTTCCAGTCGCCGAGTGCATCCTCTTCCTCACCCC